GTAGGGATAGGCTCTGGGGTGGAAATCTCACTCTTTATCTTCCAGGAAGCTTTGCACTCAATGATTGCCATTAGCCCAGGCACCCCTTGCTTTACACTTTGCCCTCAGCCAGACCTTTGCAGTTAACCAGTAACTGCCACGCCACCGCTGCCGAGCAGGACGTGAGGGCAAGGTGAGCTCTGAGCCCTCCTGCCCCCTGCCCAGGCACCTCTGCCCTGCCCTGGTGGCTTTTGCTAGCCTTAGCCCAGCTCCATGAACTATTTATCTGATCCCAGATCTGCTCTCTATCCCGGGCATTTCCTTCCGAGAGACTTGTCCTTGTGCCAAAGTCTGACAGCACTTTTGGAATAGGAATAAACGCCCCGTGGGTATTAAAAAATGCCCAATAAATAAATTAGCATTTATCATACCTGGCATGAATCAGCTTTTTTGTGTGGAACAGCCATGCAGGGCAGCCCCAGGTGAACTGGGCACGGAGTGGAAGGATAAATCCCAGCACACTCACCAGACACAGAGCAGGCCTCCACCTGGGAGACGATACCGGTGCCGTTCTCCTTGTCCGCGGGCCACTGGTAGATGTAGAGGGACGTGTGTGTGGAGCCAGCATCAAACACCAGACCGTACTGGGGAGGCACAGGGGACACGGGGTCACCCTGTGACCAGCATCACCCACTGAAGAGCAAGAGAAGCTCCAGGAGAGCCATCGGAGCTCCCCTGTGGGCAGGGGAGCCTTGAGTGGCCAAACAAGACTGGGGGTCACAAGGACAGAAAAAGTCTGGTGGCATTGCAGTCACCAGCTGTGTTGGAGAGAAGGATTTATCCCAAGCCCCTGGAGCTGGCAGTGCTTTGGGATGAAAAAGCTGCATGTGCTGTGGGGCCAGGCACAGTGACCAGATTCAGCCAGACCACCCCAATCTGTGCAGGGCTTTGTCCCCATGTTGGTGACAAACATCACAGCCTTCCTGAAACCTGGGCAAAATCCAACACCCAGCAGATAGCCAGCAGCCAAGTAAGAGCTGTACTCCTCCCGAGGACCCTACCTTGGTGCTGGGGGGAAGAAACACATCCTTCACATTCACGACGCTCAGAATGAGGGCGATGACACTGCAGACACAGGTGGCTGCCAGGAGACCAGCAATGGCCTTGGCTTTGGAGCCCATTCCTCCTTCAACCTGCAAGGACAGCCCCAGCTCCCAGCTCACACCTCATGGATGGATATGGGACTTTCCCCTTCCTGACAATGAAGCCATTCTCTGGTGCATGGCTGCTCTTAGCATGGAAGAGGATAATATCCATGGGCTCCTCTGCACCCATTCCAGTAGGGCTGTTGGCAGCCTCAGGGTTGGGGCATCCTGCTGTTCTGAGCACTCCCTCCTTGGAGGATTTTCAGCACAGTTTTTTCAGCCCTGCCTTCTCACCTGCTCAAGCTGTTGCCTGGCTGGCAAGTCAGCAGCTTCCTTCACAGCAGCATCACCAGGGGAAGCCTGGCCGTGGCTAGCTGGAGTTCCAAGCTGGGAGCAGGATCTCACAGGGCAGGGTACGCAGGGTACCAGTGTGACTGTCCCCTCTGGGGTGCAGAGCCACATCCCTCCAGCACCCACATTCTGCCACCTCAAAACCCATCCCACAACACTTGGGACCAGGTCACATCTGTTGCCCAGCAGTCCCAGATTGTTCCTGAGAGGGTCCTCTCTGCTCCAGGCAGGGAACAGCATCTCCAAGTATGTGTCTCCTGCCTGGCCCAGCTCTTGCTGATGCCATAGCATGTAAGAGACACACAGGGACAGTCTCCATGCCTGCTATGATCCCCACACCTCTCCTGCAGCCTCAAGGGCAGGCAGGAGGGCAGAGGCAGCAAGCTGGGCACACAGCCCATAGCCAGGCTGGAATGCCCACAGCCATTGCCCTTGGGGACTGGAGCACTTCCCACTTGTCCATCCAGAGCTCAGCTCCCAGCAGAAACAGCCTTCAGACACCGCTAAGAAATTGCAGGAAAGCAAAGAGTCTGGTTCTCTGTGACAGCCTCAGCATAGGGCAGCTGAGATATCCATGTGCTCAGCATGCCACAGCTGGGCCAGATGTGCTTTCTGAAATGCACAGCTCTCCTTATCTTCCTGCACTGCACTGCCCAGTGCCATGAGCCACACAGGCAGGATGCCTGCTGGGAGCCAGGCTGACCTTGCTTCACACTCCAGGTGAAAACTGCAGATGGCCTGAGAGCCCTGGGCACCAGAGATGTGGGCTTAACCCCACCAGTGCTTTGGGTGGAACCTGAAGCTGTCACTTGGCTACACAATTCTCCTGTGAGTGCAGAAAATCTCTGAGAAATTCCCCTGCCCTTTTCCCAGGTCAGTGGAGAGGAAAGATCTTTGACAAGGTCAAAGGTGATGCTGATTCCTGTTTCGGAGTCAGCATCTCTAGCAATGAACAAGAGTGACCAATCTTCTACATGGCATGAGAACAGCTGTTCTTTGGGCCCATGTCATGGGACATGGGGCCACAAAAATCCCTTATCAGACCTTGTCCTATAGCCAGCAGCCTTCCCTCTACAGTGACTATAGCCAGAAGAGATCGTATGGAATCAGCTTATAAGTCCTTGTCATAGAAAGAGGGAATCATTAAGGACTTTGAGACATTAAAGTGATGATTGATTCAAAGTGATCTCAGACTCCAATCATTAACCCAGCATCACCATGATAACCATTTAGCTATGTCCCCAGTTGTTGCATCTGCAGTCCTGCCAGCCCTTCTGGAGTGTGCCCAGATGTAACTGTGCCGTTGGGATGTGATTCATCTGCTCCAGATAACAAACAAAGCAATGGCAAAAGTCCCCAGCCTACATCCTGGAAAAAAAAGTCCCCAGCCTACATTCTGTCCCAGGCACTGTGAAATGGAAGGACACAAATTGGTGATAAATTGCACTGTGCTACATGCAGGAGAGGGTGGGAAATGGGCTCCTCCTGCTCTGGTAGGGACTAATTCCCATTTTGACTGGACAGGGGGCAACATCAAAAGGCAGCACAGAGCCAGCTCTCCCGGGCAGGAGAACAGGGCACAGGAAGGGAGCCCTGTGGGTGGGGAACAATGTGAGAAGCTGATCGATCTGTCCAGGCTTTCTGTGGCATCCCGGGGCTGGCTACCACCCGTGCAGGATCAGGAAGGTGGTGCTGATGCCTTCAGAGGTGCAGAGGAGGCACGACGCTGCACAGTGCCTGCCCATTTCCAGGTGTGGAAAGTTTCCAGCTGTGCCCAGCAGCTGGACCAGGGCTGCACTTGTTTGCTTAGCGCTTTCCATGACGAAGGGCTCGACAAATACCTGTGGGACATCCCTCACTTGCAGCATCCCTCGTGTGCAGGGAGCAGGGGCTTAAAAATTGGGGCAAAAGGCTCAGAGCCATGCTGGATCTAAACTGCCTGTTGCTCAGGACAATGGGGGGTTGACTTCCCAGTGGGCACGTTTGGGATTTGAAAGCCAAAAGGGCTCTGAAGGTTCTAAGAGGGTGACTGTGGATTGCCAGGAGCATCCTTGCCAGGCAGAGCAGTTCCCTGCATCCCACCTCTCATCAGCGCTGGGGCTTGGCAGCGCCCTCCATGACCGGTCCCTGTCCCCTCCGTGCCCCTCTGCCCCTTGCACCTGGGCACCTCGTGCGGCAAGTGGCCGCCCCAGCCCTTTCGTCCTGCCCCACCAGCCCGCGGAGCGTGTTTCCCCCGCTGCTGCCCAGGTCCCGCTCCCAGACCAGCTCCACCGAGGGGAGCCCCCGGCCCCGGCTGCCCCCGTGCCTGCCCCAGCTCACCCCGTTGGCTCCGGCCGCCACTCCGGCCCCGCCGCGCTCGGCCCAGACTCAGCGCGTACCTGGAGCTGGGAGCCCGCTCCTGGGACAAAGGCTGCGCCGCCCGCGTCCCTCCCCTTGGCCCCAGACCAGCAACCTGCCCAGGAGAGCGCTTGTCCGGGAGGCAGCGAGGCTGAGGCTGGAGAGCCGGGGTGGAAAGAGCATTCGGGATTAACCACTTCGCTGCTGGAGGAGCGGCACAGACCGGGAGCTCTGCTGCCCGCGGAGATCAGCGAGGGGACAAATCCCAGGCAGCTCCTGCCCCCGGAGCCTGCGAGCGCCTTGCGCCGGGACGCGGCAGCAGCTGAGCTCCGGGAGCCTCAGGCATCCCTGCCAGACCTGTGGCACAAACACCGTGAGGGGCTGAGCCTGCCCTGTCATCCTGCTGTCACCCGGCTCTGCTGGACCCCCTCTGTCCTGCTGCAGGCAGAGCCAGGCTGGCGGCGGGGGTCGGGACAGAAAGAAAGGACCTGACAGGTGAAGAGCTGTCCCCACAGCCATCCACGTGGGATCCATCCCCACAGGCAGGAACCAAACTGTCCTCACAGTTAGGGAGCCATCCCTGACCCATGGGGTCCTGTCTGTTCCCACGGCCAGCATCTGTCCATGTTCAGAGTCCCGTGGATGAGAGACAGAGACAGTGCAGGCAGGGAGCAGGCGGGGTACAGGCAGGTACAGGTGGAGTACAGGCGGGGTACAGGTGGGGTACAGGCAGGTACAGGTGGGGTACAGGTGGAGTACAGGCAGGGTACAGGTGGGGTACAGGCAGGGAGCAGGCGGGGTACAAGTGGTGTACAGATGGAGCATAGGCAGGGGTACAGGCTGGGGTACAGGTGGGGTACTGGCGGTGTACAGCAGCCTAGGAGCGGGGTACAGACAGGCAGGAAGCAGGCGGGGTACAGGCGGGGTACAGGCAGGGTACAGGCAGGGAGAAGCCGGGTACAGGTGGGGTAAGGCAGGGAGCAGGCGGGGTACAGGCAGATGTCCAGGCAGGCCAGGGCCCGCCGTCCGGTGCGGGCAGCGGCAGCCCCGAACTCCCCGCTCTCTCCGCCCGCGGCAGTGCCCAGAGCCCGCCCCAGCCGGGGCCGGACCCGGACGTCCGAGAGCGGCTCAGCTTCGCTTTCGCTTCGCTCTGCTCAGCCGGGGCCCGGGGCCGGCGGGGAACGGGCTGTGCCCCGATCGCCGCCGCACGTAGGGACGGACAGGGCTCCGGGCACAGGTACGAGACGGCCGGACCGCAGCACGCGGGAGCTTCGCCCCTGCCCCTTCCCGGCGGCTCGGGGCCAGACAAATTCGTGGTCTCCCCACCCGCCCACCTCATGTCCCAGGGGGTCACTTAAGGGGTAGGCGGGACCACGAGCTGCAGGGAGAAGGGGACCCCCGGAGGGGCTGGAGGCTCGCGGCAGAGGCAGGCTGCTCTGGCAAAATCCCTTCCTCCTCGCAGACCCTCCCGAAGATCCCCCGTCCCGAAGATCCTCCCAAAGATCATCCCTCACGCACATCCTCCTCCCAAAGACCATCCCTCCCCACAGACCCGCCTCCCAAAGACCATCCCTCGCCCAAACCCTCCCCCTAAAGACCATCCCTCCCCACACACCCTCCTCCCAAAAGCCACCCCTCCCCACATAGTCCCTCTCTGCAGACCCTCCTCCTAGACACCACGCCTCCCCGCAAACCTCCCAAAGACCATCCCTCCCCAGTGACCCCTCCCAAATCCATCCCTTCCTACAGACCTCCCCAAAGCCCATCGATGTCTCCGCGCCTGCTCAGGGTGCTGGGTTGGGGCTCGGCGGCCGTGCTGGGCCTGCTGACGGTGGCCGTCTTCGTCCTGGTCCTGATCCCGGCAAAGGATGCTGTCCTTCCTACCACGATCAAAGTAGGTGTCCAGTGAGACCTGGGGAAGCCTGGGAATGCCATGAGCCCCTTTCCACCGCGAATTCTTCCATCAGCCCTGCCTTCCTTTCAGCTTGCAAGTTTCCCCATAACTAGCTCAGCTTTTCAGGACTTAACCTTATCAAGGTGGCACTGGGCAGATCAACCTCCGCCAAACCACGGTCCTGGCTACTTGCTAAGGATGGAAGAGAGAAATGCAGCCTTCTCTCCATGACTGCTCCATCTCCCACCACAGGCACTCTCTTCCCTGTTTTCAGACATCCAGGTCACCTGTTGCGTTTACACCTCTCTCCCCTACTGCTTTCTGCTGTTGGTCTGCTAAAAAATGTCAGGTTTTGTGAGATTTGCCAAAGGCCTGGAAGCAGCCTGAGCCCTTCGGGCCATGCCCGGATGCCTCCCTGCTCTGCAGCTCACCCCGCTGACCTGCACGTCCTTGCTGAGCTGTAACTCGCTGGAGTGGCGAAACCGAGGCCGTTAGAGATGGAGCAGGGCTGCTGAAGGGAGGGTGGATGTGCAGACCTCTGCTGCTCATGGTCACACAGGGGAAGCAGGAGCTCTCAGAAACCCCCGTGGCACTTGGTGCAGCCCCGAGCCAGCTGTGACCCCGTGTCCCCTGTGCCTCCCCAGTACGGTCTGGTGTTTGATGCTGGCTCCACACACACGTCCCTCTACATCTACCGGTGGCCTGCACACAAGGAGAACGGCACTGGCATCGTCTCCCAGGTGGAGGCCTGCTCTGTGTCCGGTGAGTGTGCTGGGATCTGTCCTCCCTCTCTCCCAGTCTCCTGGATCGCTGTCCCAAAGTCTCACAGCACCATCACTGATCCGAGTCTTTTAGCCTGTTCTTGGGCTTTGGGCCTGCTTTGAAGGGAGATTGCCTTGTGGGGAGTTGCAGGAAAGGGTCAGGGAATAGTCTGTACCTGAGGGAGCCCTTCAGCCATTGGGAGGTGCAGAGGTGGGGGAGGGATTGGACTTAGCTCAGGTCCTACAGCCAGTCCTGTCCAGATGTGCAACACCTCATAGCTAGGGATGCTGGATGTGCAGTTTGCTCCTTCTCACTTGCCTCAGCTTCCTTGGCTCTTTCTACCACATCTCTTCGCACCTTCTTTCATTATGTGCAACTTCATGTGCCCACAGGGCCACCCAAAAGCTCTGCACAACTCTGTGAGCAATCCAGTATCTCCACTCAGGTGCTGCCTGACAGCTGGTGGGGGCAGCAGTTTGCATTTTGGTATCTGTGGAGCTCCAAAGAGGGGAGGACTGGGGCTATGGCTGCGACATCAGGGTGTGTCTGAGCAGGCCTGGTAGAGATCCCTGGAGAATGGGGGGACATGTCCCCTGCTGTGCTGTCCCTCTGGGGTAGCGCTGGGCTCTCTCCATCACCGGTTCCCTGTGGCAGGACCCGGCATCTCCAGCTACGCAGACGACCCCGCGGGGGCTGGCGCCAGCCTGAAGCCTTGCCTGGACAAGGCCATGAAGATCATCCCGGCCGAGCAGCAGCGGGAGACCCCCACGTACCTGGGGGCCACGGCCGGCATGCGGCTGCTGAGGTACCGGCACGGCCAGGCTGGCACCTCCCGCCTTTCCCGGCGCTCCTGCGCTGCACCCGAGCCGGGGCTGGCACCGGGGCACAGGGGCTGGGCCACAGGGGTGCTGCCCGGCCAGGCCGTGGGAATGGGCAGAGCATCCCTGTCTGCCGTGCCCTGGAGTGTCCGGGAGAGCCGCTGGCCGTGCCCAGGGTCCACGGCCAGCCCTGTGCAGCCCCAGCCTGGCAGCAGCCCCAGAGGGGATGAGCCCCCTTTGCCAGGCTGGCATGAAGTTTCCCAGTGCTCCAGCAGAGCCTGCAGGCAGCGTTTTTAGGGAGATTCCCAAGGGCCCGGGTGAGGGATTAGGGGTTTGCAGGAGACACCTGCAGGCAGGGGAGATGTCTCCAAGCAGCTCCTTGGCTGGGCACAGCAGTCTCTCGCTGCCAGCCCGGCTCCGCGAGCTGCCAGCCAGGGGCTGCAGCAGCTGAGGTGTTTGTGCCTTTGCTGGCAGGGAGGAGAACAGCACCAAGGCCGAGCAGGTCTTTGCCGAGGTGTCCAAGGCCATTGGGGAGTACCCTGTGGATTTCCGCGGAGCTCGGATCCTGACGGGGAGTGAGGAGGGCTCCTTTGGATGGATCACTGTCAACTACCTGCTGCAGACACTGGTCAAGGTGCAGCTCGGGGAGAGGGCAGGGAGGGGGAGCGGGGAGAATGTCCCTGGTTGAGCTACAGCCAGCTTGCCTTATTTGCAGAGGCGGGAAGAACGGAGCTTTGGTCACCCAACCAAATGTGCCCTGTGGCCGCAGGCTCAACCCCATTCACGTGATTAACAGGATCTTTGTGTCCATCTCAGCCTGGCCCTGTGCTCTCGTGTGCTGACACACGGGTGGATTTTGGGGTCCCAAGGATATGGCAGCGGTATCAGCCCCTGGATGATAGCATTCCTTTTTCCCTGCTCAGCGTGTGTGGATCCCAGCAGATGTGCACCAGCCAAGAAGCCCCGCCTCAGTGCTCTGTGGAAGTGTCTGTGGGTTGAGGAGGATGTGGGCAGGAAGGGGTTAAAACAGGGAGCCAGGAGCACATGGAAGGTGCCTGTGGGGCTTTTGAGCCTGAAATTCCTGGAGAGAAGGGAGTGTGAGTGTGAGTTCGAGTGTGAGTACCTGCAGCTCAGCCTTACTCTTGGTGTGTGTTGGGCCAGTTCTCGTTTGCAGAGAAATGGGAACATCCCCAGGACACCGAGGTTCTGGGAGCTCTGGACCTTGGCGGTGCCTCGACGCAGATCACCTTCCAGCCCGGGGTGCCTGTGGAGGACAGGAACACGTCCGTGTTCTTCCGGCTGTACGGCACCAACTACTCCCTGTACAGCCACAGCTACCTGTGCTACGGGCAGAGCCAGGCCCTGAAGAGGCTGCTGGCAGCTCTGCACCAGGTGCCGTGGGGCACGGGGGCTGCTCAGCCACCTCCTGGTGCCATGGCACATCTCTCCCTGCCATGCTTGGTGTGCCTGTGGGCAAAGAGTTGGCAATCGGCAGAGGCTTGGAATTTATCTGGGCAAGCAAAAAATTCCCTCATTTGGGTGGAAGGTGGTGGTGGTTGCCAGCCAGGGTTCCCTTCTCCCCACATCTTGGCATGCAGTGGCATTGTAATTTTGTAGTTTCCCAAGCCCAGATGTATCTGTAGGTTTTTTGCTGTCACCTTTCTCTTGCCCTTGCTCCACTTCTGCCCAGAGAGAGGCTTCCCAGCCCAGTCTCTGCACAACTGGCCTGGGACAGAGCCAGAGCCCAGTGCTGTGGGAGCCAGGGGTGCTCAGGGAGCTCACAGGTGGGATGCATCCAGTCCTCCTGGGGTGTAGGTCCTGCTTTTTGGGATGGGCTGTGGGCCGGGTCTCAGTGGCATGGCAGCCCCATTAACGGCTCTGTTTCTCTCCAGGCCAGCTCGAGTGATCAGATCTCCCACCCCTGCTACCCCCGGGGGTACCAGGAGAACCTCACCGTGGCAGAGCTCTACGACAGCCCCTGTGTGCGTGCGCCAAGCTCAGCCAGCCCTGGCCTTGTCCTCAGTGTGACGGGGACAGGGGACCCAGCCGCGTGTGGCACGGCCGTGCAGAGACTCTTCAACTTCAGCTGTGGGGCGCAGTGGCCGTGCGGGTTCAATGGGGTGTACCAGCCCCCCGTGCGGGGACAGTTCTTGGTAAGCAGCCTCTGTCCCCGCCCCTTGCGGGGACAATGGGAATTTCCAGTAACCCCTGGAAAACTGCTCTAGGACAGTGTCTGAGTAGTGCCTGCCCTGGGAGCTGGATTTTGCCTGACACATGGAGACACAGAGGGTGCTGATCTGTGTGCCAGGCAGCCCCAGACCTCTGCTCTCCCTGCACCATTCCCTGTCCATTTGGCAGCATTCCCAAGCTCCCTCCCACAGGGTCACTGCCAGCACCTTGCAGTGCTGAGTGGGGCCTCACAGGAACCACTGCAAATGGGGGGCATCAGTGGCCTGAGTGCTTCACTAACCTGTCACCTTTGGTCTTGACACCCACAGGCCTTCTCGGGGTTTTATCACAGCCTTCATTTTCTGAACCTGACAGGAGGACAGTCCCTGAGCTTGGTCAATGCCACCATCTGGCAGATCTGCAACAGCAGCTGGGAACAGGTGAGATTCTGCCCAGGAGTGCATTTCACCTGGGCACTGGGTTGCCTGAAGGCTCATCCACAGCCCATCCTCTGCTATGGCCAGTTGTAGAGAGGCAGGAGGAGCAGATGGAAAGAGGTGGGAGAACAGCCTGCAGCCTCCCGGGGTCTCCTTGCTCTCCCCGTCTTTGCCCCAAGCTGCTCCGAGGGGCTCTTCCCCAGTGTGGGCACATCCAGCATTGCTCTGTGTCCAGCCCCCCTCTGTTCTCCCACCTCTGCAGGTGCAGGAGTTGTTCCCCACGGCGAGCAGGACCCAGCTCCGTGATGCCTGCACAGCCAGCTCCTACACCCTCACTCTTCTTCTGCAAGGCTACAAATTCAACTACACAACATGGCCTAACATCCACTTCGTCCGGCAGGTAGGAGAGTGTCCAGCAGCCCCCAGCTTCCACACTTGCTGTGAAGTGCCTTGTGCCCATCCTGCTGCTGCTAGGGACAGGGCATACCAGGGCAGCACAGCCCCACTGCCCATACCCAGGGCAGCTCTTGAGCTACACTCACGGAGCTTCTGGAACATCTGGCCTGGCCCTTTGTGCTCTCTCCCAGTTTATGTCACTGCTGGGGCTCCTGCAGCCCAAGATGGGCGCAGAAATGGTGGTTGTGGAGCAGGACCTGGGGGTGCAAGCTCTTCTCTAGTTTACCTGGTACTTTGCAGTCTTTCCCATTCCTCTTTCCTGTCTCTGCAGGTTGCTAACGTAGATGTGGGCTGGACTCTGGGCTGCATGCTCAATCTCACCAACATAATCCCCTCGGAGCCTCTCACAGCAGTCACAGAGCTCCCGAGAAACATCTGGATAGCAGCCACAGTTCTGCTGGCCATCATGCTCATCCTCACCTTCTGCCTGCTCACAGCCATGTGCTACCAGACAAACTCCGCAGGCTATGAGCAGCTGTAGCAGCATTGCCTCCAGAGGCTGCCGAGGCCACCGAGTCCTGCTACCACACCTTTGCAAGGAGCTGCTTCCCAGGAATCACCCTTGTGTGCCCAGAGGCCATGGACTTGCCCTGGGGGGCCCTGAGTCCTGGCCTGGTGAGCTGGAACTGGCACAGCTGTAAAACAGCCTCCTCATAGCTGTGTGCTCTCCAGTTCTTTCCCTGCGCTGCTGGTGGGAGATGCTCCAGGAGGGAGGGCTTGGCCATGTGGGGCAGGGGCTCAGTGCTGGGGCCTGGGGACCACCGTGATGTGGGGTGGCTGGAGATGGAGATTAGGGGGGTCTGGCAGCAGTGGGACTGTCACAACCCACAGCAGAAACCCTGGGTGGGACACACACGTCCTGCCCCATCCCAGGGCCAGGGTCTGCATCTCCCGTGGCCAGCGCCAGCCCCAGGGGCTGTGGCATTGGGGATGTGGGGGGCACTGGCCTGCTAGGCAGGGCTCTGCCTAGGACTGCACGACTCCTCTCCTGCATGAGGTTCCTTTCCAGTCCAGCTGCTCCCCATGCCCCCCGTGCCTGGCAGAGAGTTCATCCTCCCTTTCCATTGCAGGGTGACTTGGGAACACTGCTGGGACATGGCAGAGGCAGCTCCCAGAGCCTCCCTTACATTTTTGGGGAGTCCCACTTGCAGCCAAGTGACGGGTGAGTTGAGACACCTCCTCTTAGAAGGAAAAGGCCTGTCCTCATGCCCTGTCGGCTCCACTCCAAGGTCCAGCGTACACCTCAGTGTCTCCAGGGACACCTCCCATAGATTCGTTGCCTCTCCTCTGAGTCTCCGTTATCACCAGTCATTACTTGGGAGACGGAAGTAATAAAATCACAATGATTTGGGAGCAAAGTAGCAGGCATTTCCCCACGGGCTGCATTCTACAATGTTTATTTGCATGATGAGAGCTGTGAGGTGCCCAGCATTCCACAGGGACACCAAAGGTCGGGAACGCAAACAACATGAATCATCCACAGAGCAGCTAAAAACGAGCAGAACCAAAGGCAAAAGTCGTGGGCAGGACCCAGCTCAGCCATGTGCAGGGCAGTACTCACAGCCACAGGGTCCAGGCCTTCTGCTGGTGGGACAGTGCTGTCTCCAGGAAGGCACTGAGGAACATCAAACCCCTTATTCCAGGTGAAAAGGAAGATGATGAGATGAGTGGCAAGATGTGATGATGAGATGGCATGACATGCCATAACACGCTGATGAGATGATGAGATGGACTCTCTGGAGGGGCATGGACCATACTTCTGACTTTGGGTGCTCAGTTTTCTTTCTCTCTCCAAGACCATCTCCATGTAAGCCCCAGCCACAGACCCTCCACAGGGCCAGCCGGGGTCCCACAGAGATCCCTCAGGCTGGCAGATCCGGCAGGGCCTGCCTGGCTGTCGGTGACTGTGCTCATGGAGCTGGCATTCCATGGCACCCTGTCCCCAGGTGCCTGACCGTGCCCCACCAGGCTGGTACTGGAGCACCATCCCATGGCCAGGCTGCCCCTCCACAACGCCATGGCCAGCTGGTGGGATGAAGCCAAGTCTGTGACAGGCGGTGTGGTGACAGGAGGCACACAGCTTTGGCTGAGGCTTCTGCAGGCTGATCCCATTATGTCTCCATGGGATTGGAGCTCCTCTGGAAACCTCAGAGAGTGCTTGTCTGCATGGTCTAGGCCCATGGAAAAGCAGACCCCAGTTCTCTGGAGCTGTAGAGATGAATGTGCTCAGCAGCACAGACCCAGCCCGGGCTCCAGTCCCACAGGCAGGAGCATGAGGACTCCAGCATGGCCCTGCATCCCTGGCACGTTCCTGCTGGGCTCCCAAACACGGCCAGGCTCCTACAGCCACAGCAGCAGGAGCAGGGCAGCGAGCCCCAAGATGAGGGTGAGGATGATGAAGGTGATGGCTGCAGCCCACAGGGAAGGCCTGTGCCCTTTCAGGCTGGCTGGAGCCTCGGCCGGGATCATGTTGGTGAGGTTCAGCATGTACCCCAGCGTCCAGCCCACGTCGGCACTCCCCGCCTGCACCGAGAGAGGGGACAGGGATTAGCCCTGCAGGAAAGTCACTGCTGGCACAGGGCCACCCACCCACTCCTGCTCAGCACAAACAGGATGCAGCAGCTGTCCCCACACCAGTGCCACGCCAGGACAGGGGGCTGGCAAGGCTCTCTGGACTGTTGCTCCCCAGCACTCCAACATGGAACTGGCTCTTCCCCAGCACCCCCACACAGGGTCTGGCTCTCCCCAGCACCCCAATATGGGGCTGGTTGTCCCCCAGGACCACCCCTTCTCCCCCTCACGGGCTGGAAGCACTGCCCACCTTCATCTGGAAGATGATGTTGTTCCAGCTGGTCTCGTTGAACTTGTAGGCGTCGAGAAGGAGTGTGAGGATGTAGTTGGCGTTGGCACAGTATTTAGGCAGTCGCTTGGGATTTTCTTTGGGGTAGCTGGAAGACAGCTGGGATGGGGAATGTTTGGGGATGAAGGGAAGGCTTTGAAGACAAAGCCCTGAAATGTGGTGTATATGTGGCAGTGGCTCCACAGTCACCAGCACCCAGAAAGAGACTTCTGGGCCAGGCAATGATTTTGGACCTCTCTATACAGGGCAACTTCTTTGGGGAGGAATTACACTCCACATGGAAACAGAGGCACATATTGTAGCTTATTGTAGCTCCTCCTGTCCCAGATTCTCCCATCCCAGCCTCCTCATGCAAGGGGCTCCTGCTCTGTGCCCCATGGTGGTGCTGGCAGTTTTCTGGGCTTATCCACTCCCATTTGTTGCCCAGAGAAGCTGTGGCTGCCTCATCTCTGAAAGTGCTCAAGGCCAGGTTGGATGGGTCTAGTGGAAGGTGTCCCTGCTCATGTCAGGGATGTGGAACAAGATGAACCTTCCCAACGAAACCAGTCTGGAATTCTATGATTCCAAGATTTTACTTGCCTCCAGCATTGTGTCAGCAGCTGTCTCTGCTCTCACCATCCTCCCTGGCATCCCCATCCCCACCTCCAACCCCAGCTCCTGCTGGAGATGAGGTCTTGCTGCCCTTTTCCCAAGGGTGTATGAGCAAGGAGTGGATGCAGGACAGTCCCAGCTCCACACAGACCTCAGGGGTGGCTCAGCTGTGTAGGGCACAGCTCAGAACCAGAGAGCCTTGCCCTGGAGGGGTCCTCACTCCCTCCCCCCACCCCACGACCCCTTTCCTTCTGAATGTTCCACACAGCCTCCATCCTAAGGAACATACATCCTCCCAGCTCCTTGTGCAGAGCCCCTCAATGGCCTCTCTGACCACGGCCAGTGGCTGCCCCTCCGTCAGGTTCAGGAACTTGAAGTTATAGTAAAAGGCAGAGAAGGCCTGCAAAGCAAGAGGCAGAAACACTGGAGAGGTGCAATGGGGCATGCCCAGCAGCTGCCCCATTGCAAGATCTGGGGTTTGAGCATAGGGTTTGTCCCACCCCAGATAGTCCCAGGGCATTGCTGTCCCTGTCCCAGTGGGTGATGGGCTGGGGCTTGGTGCCTGCTGGTGACAGCAGCACAGCCAGCAGAGCCAGAGCCTTGCCTGAAGGCTGCTGTCTCAACTCCTATTGACAAACCCCTGTTTTACAAACAAATCCATTGGATATTCAAGGCCAGGTTGGAGAGTGCTTGGAGGAACCTGGGATAGTGGAAGGTGCCTCTGCCCATGGCAGGGGGTGGCTCAAGATGAGCTTGAAGGTCCCTTCCACCCCAAACCAGTCTGAGATTCGATGATTCTCAACATGGTCCCATTTGGAGGTTTGGCTGGAAAACCATCCAGCAGCAGTCCCTAGTGTGCCCTCAGGCAGTGGCGCTTGAGGAGCCTCTTGCCCCTGTTTCCTGCAGGGAGGTGACAGTGCCATGGGGCATCGGGGACAGCCCAGCCCTGGGGGACGCCCTTGGAGGAGGTGGGAGCAGGGATTTGCCTTACAACAAACTGCCCTCGGAGCGGGGGCTGGTAGACGCCGTCAAAGCTGCAGTGCTGGCTCTGGCCACACGCCGAGAAGTTGAAGAGCTTCCTGAGGGCAGCCAGGCAGGCGCTGGCATTGCCCCTGCCCTCCAGGGTGACGGTGCTGTCGCCCAGGGCCAGGCGCGGGTCTCTGCCGCCCGTGCAGGGGCTGGCGCGGAAGGAGGACAGCGACACAGTCTCGGTGTAGCCCTTGGGGTAGCAGGGGTGCTGCACTCGTGTGCTGGAGGACGACTCCTGGGGACAGCAAAATGCAGCTGCAGCTCCTGCGGACCCTCCTGGCTGCATGTGGACACACTCAGGATCTCCCCAAGCCCAGGCACCGACATTACCACCTCCTGCCCTTCAGTCCTGGTCTTGTTGGCTGTCCCAGCATGAGCCCAGCACTAGTTCTCACTCTGCTTTGTCTCATTCCCTCTCCCACAGAGGCAGACCAGTTTCAAGGACCCAGCATGTCTCTGTCTTGTCCAGAAGGATCATTTTTGGGGACATATGAAGCCCTCTCCACCCCTGCTCTAGCTCTGGTTCTAGCTCCAATGCCATCCAGGGTCAGCATGTGGGACTTTCCTGACCATACAGCAAGGGCAAACCCTTCTGGCTCACCAAGGCTGCTCTGCTGGCGAGGTGCAGCTCCATGAAGATTCTCTGACGTTCCGAAAAATGGGCCGAGAAAGGTCTTCAGCTCACATTTCTCAGGTCCATGAAGTCACAGAGTAGCCGAGGTTCAGGGGAGCTGTATGTTCCCTGTGCCAACCCTCTTGTTAAAACATTACCAACTAGAGCAGCTTGCTTAGAGCCTTGACCCATCAAGTTCTGAGGATCTCCAGACATGATGCTCACAGCATTTCTGGGTCTAATTCCAATATCTGATCATTCCTATTGGAGAAAACCTTTCCCCTTTGTCTGGTTGGAAACTTAGATGTTCCAGCTTGTGCCCCTTGCCTCTTGTCCTGGCACTTTGCACCTCTGAGAAGAGCCTTGCCCTGCATTTCTGTACACCCCATGTGAAGCCAGAAGATCCCAAACTACCCCTTTTGCCATTTTCCCCATCCCTGGAAGTGTCCAAGGCCAGGTTGGATGGGGCTTGGAGCACCCTGGGATAGTGGAAGGAACAAGATGAGCTTTAAAGTCCCTTCCAACCCAGACCAGTCTGGGATTCCATGATGTCCGTGCTCCTCTCCACATTTGCCCTGCCATGCTCCAAGGAATCTGTCCTTGCTCTCAGTCCTTGCTGATGCTTCTCCAGAAGAGCCCTGCCTGTCCTTACTTTATGCATTAACAGGTGTGTGGTTGGTATCACGACACTACAGGCCAATTACCCCTCAGCAGCCTCTCACCACAATTAATTCCTTTGCCAGCCGCTTCAACATCTCGTTCTGCCCGTAGCAGAGGTAGCTGTGAGTGTAGATCTTGTAGCTGTACCCGTACAGGGTCAACTCAGACGCTTCATTCTGGCTCAGTACTGAACCTTCGGGCATAAAGGTCATTTGAGTGGATGCTCCTCCAAGATCCAGTGCCCCAAAAATGTTGGCTGCCTCTGGATGAAGCCACGTGTGTGCTTTGGGAGAGTACTGCCAAGGAGAGCCAGGAGAGGAAGAGGAGTAGCACAGCATGCCCTGAGCAGAATTCTCATCCCATTGAAGATAACAGGATTTTGTTATTAAATTCAATGGGCCTCTTCATGTGAGCCCTCCCCCACCCTCCCCACCCAAGCAGTCAGGATATTTATCAGAGCCATGCCAGAGATGGAACTCTCAGGTGGTCAGGAGGTGCTGATATGCTGTGGGTTCACCTGGCTCTGAGTCACCATCCCCAGGCCAAAGTGCTGGTGGGGACTGGCTTGGGACTTGCCTTTCCCATGGAGGTTGCAGGGGTCCTGGTGCAAGAGGAAGAATTTCTATCCAAGAATCCTCCAGCAGCCCCCACAGGAGCCCGACACTGCCAGCACTTCACTGAGCAGTGGCAGGGCTGGGACAGAGCTTTGCTCTGAGCTGCCTTCAGCTGGAGTCTCCCAGCACTGCAAGGAGATGGATCTTCCCAGGGCAGGGAGACAAAGCCCAGCTGTGCTGCACTGACCTCACTGTCCCTGAGAGATCCTCTGTCCACACGTGTGGAGATTGCCCTGAGCTCTCAACAGGCACCCTCATTCCTGAGTTCTCCCTCCTCACTCACTGTGGGCAGTGATGTCTCCTTCCCCTGGATCATTCCCAAAAGCTGCTAACCCTCACCTCTCCTGCACTGAGAAAGCTTAAGGAAAATCAGAAAAGCTGTATTAGAA